AAAAGGGGGGGGGGTCACTACCGGTTCGAACCCCCCCCCCCCCCCTCGAACCGGGGGGGGGTCACTACCGGTTCGAACCCCCCCCCCCTCGAAAACCGAGGGGGGGTGCGGACAGTGGTGGGGACGGTGGTGGTGGGGACAGTGGTGAGGGGACAGCGGGACAGTGGTGGGGACAGTGGGACAGTGGTGGGGACGGTAGTGGTGGGGACAATGGTGAGGACAATGGTGGGAACAGTGGGGACAGTGGGACAGTGGTGGGGACGGTGGTGGTGGGGACAGTGGTGTGGGGACAGTGGGAATGTGGTGGAAACAGTAGGACAGTGGAGGGTACAGTGGTGGTGGGGACAGTGGTGAAGGCGGTGGCGAGGACGGCGGTGGGACAATGGGACAGAGGTACAGTGGGGACAGTGGTGGGAACAGTGGGACAGTGGTGGGAACAGTGGGACAGCTCAGTGGTTCGAACCGGTAGTGACCCCCCCCCTCCGGTTTTCGAGGGATGGGGGGGGGGGGGTTCGAACCGGTAGTGACCCCCCCCGGTTTTCGAGTTCGAGGGGGGGGGGGGGAGGGGTTAGGGGAGGGGGGAGGTTTTGCCGGGGGAAGGGGGGGGGAGGGGTCCAGCAGGGGGGGGGGGATTTTCGGAGGGGGGGGGGGAACCCCGGGTTCTGGAGGGAAAGGGCGGCAATTTTCCATAGTAAAGCGGCGGTGGATCACGCTCTCTCTAATACTGCGATTGGGTGCCATACATTGGAAAGTCATGGTGCCAGGACGTAGCCGTACCGTGCAATAGCGGTAGTGTTTGGTGGCAGTTGTGGTTGCAACATGTGGCCAGTGATGTTGATAGTGTTGCGTGTGGTGTCGTGCGAGTGGTGTTGATCGTGGTGATGGGGCGCTGGTGGCGGCGCAAGTGGCAGTGGCGGATGCAGAGAGGCAGGCACCACGGAGAGGTCGGACGGTGAATGCATCAAACAGTGGGCCTTTTGATGCAATGGTTCCATGAGAGAGATGCAGTATGATGCAAACACTCCTGATCCAGTCTTGATGCGGGCTAGCAGCGCTGCCATCCTCAGCTCATGCTCGGGGGCTTCTTGGTCCTTTCGCAAATTACGAGGGGCGGGCGACACACACACACACACACACTGGCCACACCGCGAGCGTTGGTCAAGTTGGCCTGGAGCCGAGACGCCGGCAGAGCTTTATCCACCGTAGGGTTCAGTTTCAACCCCCGGCGACATCGGCACAACCATGATTGTCCCTTCTCGGAAGGGGGGGGTAGGTGCTTTTACACTCGGTGGCAACTTTAGTCGTCCGCCCCTGAGGCCACCCCCCCGCATGTGAGACGGAGAAGCTGCTGACCCTCGGCGTCACCACTCCCCGAGCCGCCGACGCGCCCTACCCCCCCCCAGGCCTTCCAACGAGCTTCAGAGCCTAGGCCGACACAGCTGCGAGGGTGTGGCCTTGGGGATCATTGGGCAGCCTGGGGATTGCGGTCGGTGTCGCGAGCCATCCATCGGCTGGAGGCGGCCGAGACTCACAAGCAATCAAACAGGGCGCATGCTGTTTGCCTGTTTTATTTCCCCGCCACATGTGCCAGCTCTGCTTACACCTGGAACAGATTTGGATGTGGATGCGGTTATTCGGCCAGCGCACTCCAGACTTGAAGAGCGGGGAAGGGTGGCATTGGCAACCTGCACAAACGCACCAGCACGGGCCTGCGCGAGGTCGATAGCAGGAAACAGTTCAGGGTTAGCAGGGGGGTGAATCGGCAGGGCTTGCTTAGCGTGACCGTCCACGTTTTCATTGGCCTCGCCAGAACGATATCCATCACCGTGAAATTCTTGAGAGTTCCTCATCGGTTTTTGTGATCCTTCACATGGAGGGCTTCTTAACTCGTCCCTCAAGATCAAGGGCAAGCTTTCGAACCCCCGCAAACCAGATACATGCCACAAGCCGGCGGACTGACCTCTCGACGTGTAACACCCAGCCGGTCGAGACGGGGCGAGGGTCGGTAAGCGATTTATTCATGCAGAGCGGCTGCACAATGCTATTCGGGTCGGGCGAAAGGGGGGAATTGGGAAAGGGGGGGTTACGAAATTTGCTGCATGCAGCTGGTTTCGGCCTCACCGAAGGGCCAATTCCTCGATACATGGCCGCTCCCGGCGCCGGGAGGCGCCGGGAAAATCAGCTGCGTGAGCTGATTCTCAAACCCCCCCTTTGCTATCCCCCCCTTTCGCCCGACCCGAGCTATGCAGTGGCGGGTGTCTGCGGGAGGGGCCCTGGCACTGCCCCTCTCAACACAGAGGGCAAGGTTTCGGAGAGAGGCTGGAGGAGAGCAACCGGCCAGGCGGTCCCTCGGAGCGGCCGCAGCTCGAGGCGGGAGGCCCCCAAAGCAAGGGGAGGACGTTCCTCGGGCTACAGGTCTGACGGATGCCCTGGCCCGTCAAGAACGTTGCAGCCTGTGCCCACCGACGGAATGGGCAATGGACTATCACTGTGCAGGGAAGAGGCCTCGCGTGAGGATGTTATTGGGTACCTTGTGCTCCTCACGGGCTGGGTTTACATTTTGTCGCGTGCATGTCCACGCGCGGTAACGCTGGGTATCCATCTGGCCACCCTCGGACCGACCGTTCGTGCAAGAGTAGAGGAGGAGAAGTAGGATTGGCACCAGGAGGAGGAAGTTCAGACGGAGGCGGAGGACGAGTGTGAACCCAGGACTCATCAGCGGTGTTGGAATACACCTTCCCTCCAAGCTCCCTCTTCACAGGCCCCTGTGAGGGGTCATTTCCACTAAGCGAATTGCCCCGTTGAAGGACAACCATGTGAAAATCCTGAAGCGTGCCAGTACACCATTCTCAGGATTTGAACGCCACGAGTTGACTTGACTTCTGCACGTTGGCGATCCTGAATCGTGCCAGAGCACCATTCTTGGGACGTCAACACCGCAAATCAACGTAACTGCTGCGCCCTGACAATCTCAGCCGTTCCAAACCACAATGTTTGATACGTTAACCATGAAAACCAGTGAAGCTCTCGCAATGATTAAAAGAAGCGGCGCTGAAGCGATAGCCACAGTTTGAAAAGGAACCCGCTTCAACCCGTGAAACGATTGCAAAGATTTGAAAAGAATGTGCGCGGCGGGTATCAGGCGAGAGCCACATATTGAAAACCACCCG